TGCATGGGTAGGAGGGTGACCTAGATAAAGAACTGTAATATATTTTCCTGGCTCCTAATAGCCAACGTAGAACACTGCTGCTTTTACAAACCGGCTCTAAGACTAAGAGCGATCGTGTGACCTCTGATCGCTCAGCTCATGGTCTCTTTCCCTGCAGAGAGCAGTGGCTGTCAGCCACTGCTCCCCGCAGATGCTACTCTAGTGCTCATTAGAAGGTAGAATAGGCATTAAAAACACAGGGGAGTTCGGTATAAGTGCGTGATGTGCTGTTCTTACAAGCGAACCTGTTACTTTGCTCCTGAATGGACTTTTTAAGCATCGTACCACTTATACCACCGCTGTAGACTTCGAGAACTTAGACCTGCTGTTGATGAATAGGGAGAGGAGGGTAAATTCATAATTTACAGGGAAGATCTATATAATATACCATATTTGCCGTCGTATAAGGCGACTGGGCGTATAAGACAGCAAAAAGTTTCCAGGCACACTTGCCAGCATGCAAAAAAAACATTGCATGCTTTTGCATGCTGGCCGGTGAGTGTGCCTGGAAACTTTTTACTGTTTGAAGCCCTTCCGTGTGCACCTTGCTGTAAAGCTGGTAACGAATTGATGAGTGCGTTTGCCATTTGTTTTGCTGGGCGTATAAGACGACCCCCTAATTTTTCTGTTAAAACACAGGTATTGGGCTATACTCGTCGTATAAGACGAGTATAGCCCAAAATAATGTTTAAATACACTCACTAACCTCCATGGCGGTATTCCCGAGTGTGGCTCGGGGGTTAATTTTCAGTACCATAAGCGGTAACCCCGAGCCACACTCGGGAATACAGTTTCTTACCTTATCCACGATCCTCGCTGTGTCCTCCGTCTTCCGGGTTCCATCCCTTGCAAGTGTCCACATCGCAGGGGGGCGGAACCGGGGGCAATTTTAAAAGTAAAACGAAAAAATAACCAGACCGCCAGGGAGGCTAATCTGTCAGCCCGCTGGATGTGCGGTAATACTGTATGTACGGTAGCTTCGGCTACATACAGTATACCACACTGAGCCAATCATGGCAGGCTTTGTATTCATTAATAGAATACATCGCTCGCCGTTATTCGCTCAGTGCGGTATACTGCACACCCGGCGTATAAGACGACCCCTGATTTTCGGGGGATGTTTTTAAGACTAAAAACTTGTCTTATACACCGGCAAATACGGTATATGTAGTTTTCTCTGAAGGTGTCCCCTGCTTATGAATTGTTTTCTTATCTGTTCAGGTTGTATTGCCCAGGATTTGTAAAGTTGTTTGCTGAAAGAAAAAGATGATTAGATAGATTGGACAAACTTAATTTGGCATGTCAAGCAATATTCATTTTCCCTATGGGCTGAGATATTGCTGCGGAAGACTTGTTTCTTCCGTGTTTCCCCGAAAATAAGACTGTCTTATGTATTTTATGTATCTTGTGTATTACCATACCATAATACCGCAGGGGTGTGGAATTCGTATCGCCCGATGCCCGGGACATGTAGTTCCGGGCGCCGGGCAAGTGGTTTTTGCACTGTTTTAGCCCTGCTACGGACATGGTGGAGCTGTGACAGGCTCTGTCACCTCCCCCAGCCTCTGTCCCCGGCGGCCGATGCTCGTTCCCATCACAGGAGTTCAAGCAACAGTGCTGTGCTAGAACTCCTGTGTTGGAGGTGACAGGGTCAATAAAGAGTACCTGTCACCTCCAAATGCTATTACACAGGGGATTATTATTCCCTGTGTGATAGCAATACAATAAAAAGTTTTTTTTAAATAGTTAAAAAGAAAAAGTAACCCTCCCACCATACTTACCTTTCAGCAAACGGTCCTTCCCCTCCAACAGTACGGGTGTACTATCTGTACCTGTTCCATGTTGTCTGAATTTCGCTCGCAAATTGCAAGCACTCGTTGGTCAACGCAGTCACCTGACGGCACTGACCAATGAGAAGCGCTTCTTAGCACTGCTAAATACGGTTTTGGTTAAAATAATTTTTTTTGTATCAGGACAAGTAGATTGTCATGAGGGACAAGTAGATTCGGCCCCCGCTTTAGTCCTTGGACAAGTAGTTCAACCTCACCTCACGCACCTCAATAGGCAACGCTATACGCACATTTGATATTTCCAGATGGTCGCCTATAAGGTAGGAAATCTTCTTCACGTTTTTGAGTTGAGGTCCACTTTAATTTGTGTGTACAAACACGCCTTTGACATTTTTTCCACCTTTTGATTTAATGAGTGGAGAATTGTTCATTTATGTTTACTATGTCTCTTCAGGAAGTGAACACTGCCGCATAGGCATGTATTATAAAACATCAACTCGGATGCTATTAATAGCTTTTTACTTCATAGTGTCCAAGTTCTTATACAACTTAGTAGTCCCACATTCTGATTATATGGCTGCAGATTGATGATTGATTACAGTACACAACAAACGGTACGCACAGAATTGGCCTTTTAGATTTGACCGGGCAATGGTCGATTTATTATATATGTAAAGTCAGAAAAGGTCAGCTGACTGGTCAGCAGAGAAGATTCTAAGCTTTTCTTTAGAGGTTCTTATTTCTGTTTATTGACTGAAAACTTTACTTTGAACTATTTTTCTGCTTTCATGAGAAAACGGTCCAAGTTACTTAACCTGATTGGCAGGTACAACGGGAGGCACATTTGTTGGAACCTTTCCACGTAAAAGCAATTTTCACTGAAATATTTAAAGTGACATTAAACCCTCAGATTTTTGAACATAAAACAATACTGTAATGTGCGCCTTACTGTAACCCATGGTAGTTTCCCTTCTCTTTGCTGCTCTTCCTTTTTTAAATCCGTATCTCTTCTCATGCTGGGCAGAACTTCTGTTTTGCAGCAGACTGCCTTGTCTCTGAAATGGATACATGGTGTCTGTGTGAAGGTTCACAACCTCAGCCAGCACTACAGGAAGAGGCACTCAGCTGCAAAGGGAAGTTTTCCCCCAGCATGAGACGAGATAGATTTAAAAGGAAAAGCAGCAAAGAGAAGGGAAACTACCATGGATTACAGTAAGGCACGCATTACAGTATTGTTTTATGTTAAAAAATCTGAGGGTTTAATGTCACTTTAAAACTGACCAAAATAATTGGCATCTTTCGTTGCTTCATCCATATTTAGTAAAAAGCAGACTTTGATTCAATAGAATATTTTAAATAAGAAAACAAATAATTGGCATGGACAGTAATGATCAGATCCATAACACTGTTTTGTTGCACAACCTTTAGGCCTCATTCACACGGGAAAAGGTCGAACGTACAGCTCCGTGCTACGTGCACGGCCGTATCGGGCAGCTCCCGGGAAGGACAGGTGCTGTGTGTGATTAGTACGCAGCCCCTGTCCTCCTCTATGCGAATATGCTGCAGTTTTTCTGGTGTGAATGAGGCCTTATAGGCAATCTCTATAAACAAGAGAATTCTGAGACTTCTGCATCTGCCAACAGGCTCATAGAAGGTCACTTCTGAATGGTCCAATGCTTTTTTGTTAGCCTTGCTTGGGGGGCTTTTAGCTGTGTGGTTTTTGGGTCATTATCCTGCTTGAGGACCCGTGACTGAGAGGGCTTTCTGACCCTGGGCACTCCATATTTTCTTGTTAGTCTAAATTGGCCCTGTATGTATACATGTAACATAGGGACCTTTGTGTAAAGCGTTGCGTAAATTGTCGGCGCTATATAAATACCTGTAATAAATAAAATAGTTTTGCGATCTCATTGTGCTGAAGCAGCAAAGCAAAAACAGCCCCAAAACATTACCGAGCCTTCACCATGTTTCACAGTAGGTATGGTGTTCTTTTCCTTTGTTAACCTAGAGATATGACTAGCCTAAAAGCTTTTGTTTTGTCTCACCTGTTTAAAAGACATTCTCCCAGAAACATTGTGGTTTGTTAGTATACGTTTTATGCAAATTCCAGTCTGGCTTTTTTATAGGATTTTAGTTCTTCAAAAAGCAACAGATGGTGCCATCAATCACTGATGTACCTTGACCTTGGAGTTCAGCTTGTATCTCTTTGAAAGTTTTCCCTGGCTCTGTCTACTCTTCACATTTTTTTTTTCCACGTCTGGGGAGGTTGGCTACACTTTTTTGGACCTTTTAGGCCCCGTTCCCACTGAGCGATATTCAAATTGCGTGTTTGTCGCGCGATTTGCATATTGCGCAACATTGCATTTGCCGCGCGATGTCGCGTTCAAGCTTGCATTGAGCAAGCTTGAATCGCGGCTAAATCCGCTCCAAAAAGGGTCCTTCTGTAGCGACACACGACCCGCGACAGCAGGACCCTTTGCCCCATTGGATTGCGATATCGCGGGAATTACCGCGCGATAAATCGCTCAATGTGAACGGGGTCTAAAACTTCTTAATATTTGCAACTATAGTCACGGGAACGTCAAGCTGATTGGAGACCGTCTTATAGCCTTTACCTTTTGACATGTTGGACCAGAGAAAGCAAAGGAGAGAATTGTCTGAGGAGTTCAGAGAGAAAATTATAGACCATGTGCAGTGTGGGGCACACGATGATACCAAAAAGCAGAGTGACTACTTTTCTCTATATAAATAGACTGATAACTAGATTGAAGACGTGTGTGTGATAAGTACAGAAAACACTTTGAAATATCACTATGTTTCAATTATTTATAATCTTTTCTAGGGGCACCAACAAATCTGTCCAGGCTGGTACCGTGCGTTGCTCCGGGTGCATTGTGACCTGGAGGTGCGTTTGGGGTGCCATTTAAAGGAATGGCAAAGCACCTGCCACACTAATGCACAGTAGGTGCTTTGCGCGGTATCGTATATATTAATAGTACGGAACCATGTGATTAACGCACGACCTTGGTGTGAACCGTTTCTTAAGCCTCTGCCACTCTATACAAAATAGAAAAAAAAAGTTTTAGATATAGATACACTAAGTCATCTCTGTCTCGACATTTGCATTGTAATTTAATTAATGGTTTGATGTTTAATTTTGTATCTTTTCAGGTTCGTTGCTTTTAGAATCAAAGATAAATCCAAATACTGCATATCAGAAGCAGCAGGTAAGAGGAAACATATTCAGGTGGCAGGAGCTAAAATATACACAATTTCCTTCCAGTTAATACAGTTGGACATTGAAAATAGCAGGGGAAGGGCTAGAAAAAGCCAAAATAAGAAACATTTGTGGATATTGAGGAGAATCTCGGGTTTCCCTTCATTATAAATAATGGATTTTGGATGGCTTGACTGCGTGCAACATTTGTGCTAGCATAAAATGTTCAAAGTGTCTTACAAGGTGGAAGAATCTATAAGGGCTTATTCACACCAAATGCAGACCAGATCAGCATGAGTTTGTGCACACGCAGTGCAGTGTGTTATACTGCGTTTTTGATGCGTTCCGGGCCATTTGGGGTTTTTTCCCGTTTAAAATAGGCTTTCAGGGCGTTTGCATGCGTTCCAGAGCATTCCCGAGCAGGTAAAATAGGGCTTGCTGCAGTTTTTTTAACATGCTCTGGAACTGAACGCTGCAATGTGAACTAGAGCTCAAAATACTATTGGAATACATTGGACGCAGTTTTGATCCGGTCTGTAACTGCTCTGCTACTGGAACGCGCTTGGTATGAACAAGCCCTTAAATAAATATCAGTGGCCCACCTCTGTGACATTACAACCAGCCTTGTAAATAGGTAAACTGTTTTCATGAAAGGAAGGGAAAGTGTGAAGTTTGACCTTTAAGTAGGTCCCTGTGTACACTGGGCTTTGGGTTTCCTTTTGTGTTAACATCCACTTTGTAGAAGGTTTTCTACATGCAAATAAAATATTTTCTGCTGTATACAAAGTCAGCTGCTCTTATAACTGCCAGTGTAGTTTCCTTTCACCTTGCACTGGACCTGTGATGGGTAATGAGGTTTGCCCAGCAGCAGCAGGCAGCTCTCCTCAAAAAACTGCCCTGCTCTATCTACCTACTCCAGTGTTCTTACAGTGACACAAGAGTTAACTCTTCAAAATACATTCAAGTACCTTACCAATTGATTTGGTTATTTCTCGGCTGAAGATCCTCAAATCATCTCTGAATTGGTGCTGACACAATGTCCTTCCTTCTGGAGGGTGGCTACCATTGTTCCCCATGGTCCCTGTGTGTGTTGTAAAGTAGTCACCGCTCCAAGCTCACTCCTGTGATGGACTACAATCTCATGTTTAGTTTACTAACTTGTATTGAGAGTGTAGTCCATCACAGGTAGTGAGCTTGGACATGTGGGGGCATGTTCTGTATCCTATCATGCATGTATTCTGTCAATTCATTGCTGCTGCCTACTGTATATGTTCTGTTTAAAGAAGTCCTGTCACCAGAACTTTCATTTCAACACATTTTCCATAAGATTATATGCACAATTTATTTTATGCGGGTTAGTTGTCTGTAAAAGCCTCTTGTGTAGATGTCCACAAGCCCTAAAACTGCTGCTGGATGTCCCCATCTATGATGTGATTTTAGCAGCCCCAGGATTGTCACTCTTTAGTATTTCCCCCATTTGCTCCTTCCCCAGAGATGCATAAAAGGTTATGTAGGGAGGTGGAGGAGCTGGGTCAGCACAGAGACTCTCAGAAGAGGAATGGGCTCTGATGTACATGGAAGGAGGGGGCTGTACTAGGGAACGGACTCTCCTGGAGTAGTCACATTCTAGCATGTTAAAAGGCAAGTAAATGAAAGGAAAAAACACAGCAAGGAAGCATTCAAATTGAACTTTCTGTGATGTAACCTGCAATTTTTTTAAGTTGGTGACAGTATTTCTCGAAAATTGGGGAATGCATCAATGTAGTGGTAAGGTTGAAAGCCTAGTTAAAAGGTAGACCTGTAATGTGCATTTATGTTTGGTGTCCATGTGGACCCAGTAAACGGCTTTATGATGTGCTGAACATCCAAAATCTCTAGCTATCTTATCAAAGCTCATATTATAAATCTGTATTGGTTTAAATAAGATTATATTCTATAGTGATCAATGTCATTGTTTATTCTCAGGACACGCTGATTGTTTGGTCTGAAGCAGAAAATTATGATTTGGCTCTCAGCTTTCAAGAAAAGGCGGGCTGTGATGAGATCTGGGAAAAGATATGTCAGGTAAATGGTTTTCTTGTTTCCTTGTCAGTGTTTGCTGATAAAGTACACAGTGTGACGTAATAAAGCAAAGTGAGCTATAGACCTGCCGTACCCAGTGTATGTCTTTTATGTGAGTTCACACACACGAATGCTCACATAGAATGTACTTTGTTGTACATGTGTCGATGCCACGGCAGCACCAACCACAGTGTACATGTTGGGTGATGCTGGCTCCCCGGTATTGGGCCAGTCGGTGATCACAATTAGCTGACAGCCCAGTTTTTACTAAACACTGCTTTACCTCTGCTTGTTCCATTGTGAACCAGAAAGAAATACTGATGGACTGCATTTAATTATAAATGAAAAGTAATTAAAAAACATATTAGATTTTTTTTAAAAACAATTCTTAAAATCTTGACACTGCATATATATCATGTGAGAGATTCAAAGACATCAGAAAACCAGATCACTCTAAAATGAATGATTTTATTTTTTTTAAAAGGCTTAATGCATGCTCTGAATTGTGGTCAAAAAATACCCACACCCCTCCCCTCCTCTGCAACAAACTAATCGATATTGAGAATAGTTGTCAACTATTCTCATTATCGATTAGTTGGTTGGATCCCCTAGGTCTCTCCCCCACCCTGGGAGGAAGGCACAGCAAGCAGTGGGCGGGTGCAATAACCATCCTGCTATTGTAATTTGAAATGGCCAATAACAGGCTGGCTATTGCACCAGCCCACTACCAGCTGTATTTATGTTCAGCTGCCGTCTGTGGAATCCTTCCCCCTGGCAGCTGACATTCACTGACCTGAAGCTATTCAAGTGCCATGTGCTTACAATTCAATTATTTAAAAAACGTTTTTTTATAGAAGGTGGAAAATAAGTCATTTTCGGTGTCGGCCTGACAAATTTTCCTGTGCGAGGTGGGGTTGCATTGCCATTTAACGGCACCCCAAACACGCCTCTCACCCACAGGGTGATCGTCCGCCCTGTGATGCCGTGCGTTCCAGTGCATTTGCAAAAAATTTTGCGTGCAGTCTTATTCTGAAGTAAACTTTGCTTGTAACACTCCCATTTGTGTATTTTATTTTAAATTAAGGATGGTATTTATTTTTATCCCATTTAATTGAGTAATGGAAAAAAATAATCGGCCAACTAATCGATTACCACACACACACACACACACACACACACACACACACACTTCCCTGAACTTCCTGGTTGTGCGGAAGGATACCGAGGAGCCATAGGCTGCTTCTGATGTTAGTCAAACTGTGGGTGCAGGCATGCTCAGGTGTCTCCACAGCAGCCGGCTAGCTGATGGCGGCACCTGTACGGGAGGGTGGAGCCAGCGGTTTGGATACTACCCGAGAAATGGGGAATAAAAAAAAAAAAATTGTATTAAAGTCTTAACAATCAACACCACAGTGTTGGGAAACCCTCAAAATGAAGCTCTCATTTACTCACTTTTGGTCTTGTAAATGTACCATTTAAAGTAGAGATGTCCCAATACCACTTTTTTCAAGAGCAAGTACTTTCCTTCAGGTACTCGATACCAATTACTGATACTTTTTCTTAAAGGGACATGTGATGTTTTTTTCTAAAACGATAGACTAATGATTTTAGGGCAATTATGAAGAACTGTAACTCCGAAGACTGTTTGGGTAAAATAACAAAGCCGTTCTATTGAGTAAATTGTCATCCTCCATATGGCAACCAGTCATTCATGTAATTAACAGGACAAACTCCACTACTCAATGCAACTGGTTTAACTCCCATCTGGAAACAACAGCCATATGTTAATCTTTGCCAACCTTACAGAGCAGTCATGTGGGATATAGTCCATTCACGTCATCCTCTAGCCACCACATATGATAGTCTCCGACAATATAATAATATAAATGAGGGGGGAGGAACTTCATCCATACTTACTCAAACGTGTCCGGTCTCTCTCGTGGCCCTCAGGTAGTCGGTGCTATGCGTGAGGGTCCATGCCCGGTCTCTCTCGTGGCACTCAGGTAGTCAGCGCTGTGTGTGGGGGAAGGGGGGTCTGTGCTCATAGTCTTCTTGTAGCCTTCTGGTAGCTGGTGCTATGCGGGGACTCTGTGCCTGGTCTGTCTCCTGCCCCCTGGTATTCTGCGCTGTACGGGGAGTCCGTGCCTTGTGTGATGACCCCAGCAAGCACAGTGCCTCTGGGCAGCTTGAAGCTATATACAAATGGAAAGCGCCGGTATCGGTGCTGTGCATTGGGCATTTTGTGACAATGCCAGGTATTGGTTTTGGAAAAACATCCCTAATTTAAAGTGATATCTGTTCAGTAAGTGCAAAGAAAGACCCTGCCAGAAATCCAGAGAGCTGATAGCTTCCTATGCTCTCTACCTGTGCTGAACTTTTTTCAGTAACTATAGAACACCTCCCCTTAGGTTATTGGAAGGTATTCTTTAGTCCTGTCCTAGGATAACACTGCTTCTCCATTGATACAGTATAGCAGGTGAATGTTGTCACCCTAGGACATGAAGTGTCACTGGCAGGATCACAGGTGTACACAAAGCCCGATTACAAAACGTCTTCAGTTTAGATCACATTTTAGAAACAGTTGTCATAAAATTGCCTAATATTGGCCACACTGCAGCTTCACCAAGCGTTCCATTGCCAGAACAAACAAATGGATCAACTCATCCTATCGCCATCAGTCTCTGTTTCATGGTTTCCATAAAAACATTTTGCTGGTCATTTTTTTAATTTGATCTGCTGGGTCATTTTGCAATGGAATGCTGATTTGAATTGTCATGTGGCATTTTCTTTTTTATACTTTGTGATCTTGCCAGTAACACACTTCCTGTCCTAGAGTGACCACTCTTATTTGCTACACTGTACTTACGGAGGAGCAACATTGTCACCCTAGGGACAGGAAGTGTTTTAGGACTACAGAACACCTCATTTCCATAACATAGGGACATACTAACTGATGAGAGTGCAGCAGAGAACAATGGCACTGGAAGTTATCTGCTCACAAGATTTTTGGCAGGATCAACACTTATTGCACTTATCAAACAAATATAACTAAGCACTTTCAATGGTATCTTTAACCCCTTCATGACAGACCTTTTTCATTTTTTGCACCCGTGTTATATTCCACATTTTAGGCCTGAAAATTACTTAAAACCCCCAGGGGGAAAATGTTAATGCTTCCAGTGGGGCTACCCCAGCACTACAAGGGTTACCTGCTCATTTATGTCTATGTGCTAAAAAAAAAAAAAAGTTATACTCACCCGATCCTTGGAGATGGCTTGTTCTTAGACCAGACCCTAGAGCCTCCCTCCCCGTCCTTGTCATCAGGTTCTATAAAAGTGTATAGACATGAGAAAGCTGAGGAACATCTCATCTGTGTAGTGGAGGAGGAGACACTCTTTAGTTACCAGAGAAGCAGGGAGTCAGCTCTGCATTTCAGGCGAGTGTAACTATTTAGTTTTAGCACGTAGACAAAAATGAGCACTTAACCTTTGCAATGATGGGGTAGTCCCACTTAAAGGGTTAATAACATTTTCCTCCAGAGTTCAACAAACCAAAAAAGAGCAAATATGAGAAGTTAATTGTTGGGGTTTAAAACCACTTTCGGTCCACACAAGTGACTGAATTGAAGGAACTAGTAATCCCCCAATGATCAGTTTTAAAATATAGAAAGGTTTAATATTTTGTAGGCCAGGCATGATAAAATGAAACCTTTCCACACGTGCAATGCATCTGAACTGCAAAAGTGAACTTACACTTTAAATTGTATGCACAATACTGGATAATGAACAGAATGTCCCATGAAGATCTGCACAGTAAGGCAAAGCGGGTCACCGAGGAGTGACGCTTGAGTGTGACGATAAAACCTAGAACTGAACGGGGCTGTTTACCAGTTGTTAGGGTGTGGGGCTGTGTACATGTCACTGCATAATGTTCTTCCTGATGTTTAGCTTGGTTGCCTTGATAACATCTGATTAGGAAGGTGGATTTTTACAACCTGTTTAACCACTTAAAGTACACGTGTAGTTATTATGCAGGATTAGAAGGGTCGTGCTCATAAGAGCTTACAATCTAAAAGGGAGGGGCAGGTGATACAATAGATAGTAACTATGTGGAGAAAGTAAGAGTTCAGTGGTTAGGTTGAGGCAGGATGGGTTTTCAGGGATCGCCTAAAGACATATATTTTCTCGTGTTTACAGACCATCCCATAAAAATCTCTGCCCCGCTGGCAGTATATGTCCCCAGGCTTGCGTATACCAACTCAGCACTGAACAGGTTTTTTTGTTTGTTTTTTTTTTCCACTATATAAAGGAAAGACTTTTTTTGGGGGGGGCGATAGTTTTTCTTTCTATAAAAAAACAAAATAGAAATCCCAGTACAGTATAGGACCCCCAAAAATGACCCATTGCAATGAGGTATTGAGGTGCTTTGTTCTTAAAATTCTCCTAAAACACAGTGCTTCGTAATGGTGCACTAGATACAGCGCATCTTTAAAGTCTTGGTCATACACAGAGGGAGAAGGTGAAGGGGTTAATGAGCAGGGTACATACACGAAGTTTAATGTGCAGGATAAGGGAGGTGAAGGGTTAACATACTGTATGCAGGATGGATATTAGATGTACTGGAGGAGAATAAAAGGGTATAAATGATTCAAAACAGAGGTAGTGAAGGGGGGCGGTTAAGGAAACGAGGGGGAGGGCTCTCCAATGTAAACAGTAGTACACTTATATTTGATATCCCTGTGATTGGTCGTCATAGTGATCACAAAGTATAGAGCCAATCAGATTGACTCTGTACAGCCTGAAATCTGAGTCGTCCAATGACAAGTCAGCTCGTAGGTATTAACGGGTGCACTGGCTACTGAAACGTTATTTGTGCGATTTTATATTTCTAAGCTTTAGTTGTATATCCTGCTCCATGGAGGAGCATTGGGCCACAGTAAGAGACTTCCACTGTTGACGGTTCCCAGCTTTTTATTTGACCTGCAGCTAGGTCATGTTCACGTCAACAGCCATGATATCATTATATAACCAGGAGCCTCTGGGTCTGCCTTTCCTGCTCTGTCCTTGGGGATTCCAGGCATGTGCTTGTCTACAGATTTCATTTGCGCCCTTCGTAAGGTATATCCAATCTCCATTTACACTCTTGGATCTAGGCTGCAACCAGTCTTTGGTGACACCACAAGAGAAAGTCCTTATTAGGGATGCAGTTTTGTGCCCACCGGGCTTAAATTATGTATCACGGGCAATGATTAGCGAGAACCTGGACTTTGTGGTTTCCACATTTAGTGGAAATGTCCATTACTTTGCCGTTAATAAACATGGCGGTAGACAAGTGTTTAACTGAAAAATGGGTTAATTACCGTATATACTCGAGTATAAGCCGAGATTTTCAGCAGCATTGTTTTCAATGTATATAAGACCAGTACAGATTTAGATCTGTATACATATGTATGATGAATATGACGTGACCAGGTTTTCATTTTTATTTCTAGGTTCAAGGGAAAGACCCTTCCGTGGAAGTCACACAAGACCCCATTGATGAGTCGGAAGAGGAGCGCTTCGAGGAGATGCCTGAAACTAGCAGCTTGATTGATCTTCCTAATTGTGAAGTTGATAAACTTGAAGAGATCGCCGACCTTGTTACCTCAGTCCTATCATCACCAATCCGTAGGGAAAAGCTAGCGCTAGCCTTGGAGAACGAGGGCTACATCAAAAAGTTGTTGCAGCTTTTCCAAACCTGTGAAAACTTGGATAACCCAGAAGGCTTGCACCATTTATATGAGATTATTCGAGGAATTCTGTTTCTCAATAAAGCAACTCTGTTTGAGGTGATGTTTTCGGACGAGTGCATAATGGATGTTGTGGGGTGCCTGGAGTACGACCCAGCCTTGGCTCAGCCAAAAAGACATCGAGAGTTTTTGACTAAAACGGCAAAGTTTAAAGAAGTAATCCCCATAACAGACTCTGAACTTAGGCAAAAGATCCACCAAACGTACAGGGTACAGTACATTCAAGATGTCATCTTGCCCACGCCATCTGTATTTGAAGACAATTTTCTGTCTACACTCACGTCTTTCATTTTCTTCAACAAAGTGGAGATTGTCAGCATGTTGCAGGTACGTATTACTCATCCCAAACCTTTTCCTATGTCTTTGATTGCGGGGTCTGTAAAGGCTCTCCTGTAGGCACTTGTTCTACTTCCGTATAGTATGATGTACATTATAATATGTTCTTGCTTTTCCTCTTTATACATGGCTCTTTTTATTTCTGCAGATAAAATAATACAAACGCCTTCTTGTGATGATTAATAGCATGGCTTTACCCACAATTCCAGTTTCTGCTCTTACCCTGACCACGTGACATAACACCATTTTGTTAAAGCATATTTACGTGGTTACCATAGCTCTACCCATCATCCAAAATTAGGACCCGTGTGGCCATTCTAGCTCTGCTTGTCATAGCTGAGCAGGATAGAATCAAGAAAATACATTTGGTCCTGACACCTGCTTGTTCCTGGGCACTGAACCGGCAAGGAGCGAAGCAATTAAAATTGCAGTGGCCCCAGAGCGAGTATCTGTAAATAAAGAGTGTTGCCTTCATGTTTTTAGAATGGAGGCAAGCTGGTCCTGACATCAACTGCATAACTGCAGTGAAGAATGGGGAGTACACATGCTTTGGAAATCTTAAGGTAGACCTGACATTGGAGATGTATGGGGGTTGCCATTGCTGACTTCAGAAAATGTATGTCAAGGCAGAATAAAAAAAAATTACATCTCTTCAATACATGCAGACGTCCCCAAGTTTTCTCCCTTCAGACTTAACTTCACATAGAGGAACTGAGGGGCCAGAAATAATGGGTATCCCAACCTTCCTCTGTATTTTCATCTGTGGATTCCTAAGCATATGGTGTCAGCCCTGCCTACTTACAGCAACACAGCCCTTTCCTCATCCCCCACTCCTTCCCCTTTATCTCCGTAACCTACTTGAACACAGAAAGTTATCCGCTCAGAAGATTTCAGGCACCATCAACAGGGTGTATTGTTTTGCGTGTGTTGAACAGATGAAAAAAAAATGTTTTAAAAGAATAGTTCTCTCTCAAAATGTAAAAAAAAAAAATTAATTTACCCGCCATCACCTTCCCCGGCCGCTGCTACACCTAATGTCTAGTCCCCACCAGCAAGTCTTGGGGTCCGTACAGCAGACTTCCCAATCCGGCAGTATGGAATGTTAGTAATGCTCACAGATGTGGAGAGCTCATTGGTCAGCATGGTAATGAGAAGAGCTTCTTCCGGGACCTTATCACTGTGGCCTGAGCTTTTATTGGACATCTCAGACCACAGACACACTGTACAGAACTGGTGTGTATATTCTCTCCTGTGCAATAATCCCTCCCATCTCCCACTGTATGTGACCTGTACATTCAACCCTTCATCACCTTTCTCTGTGTGTCACATATATGAAGATGGGGTGCCGTATCTAGCAGAGCACTGGAAAATGTCCTGGGAATGAAGGGGTGTTACAGGCTGGTACTCAAAGGGTTATCCAGAAAAATCTCATCACTGCGTATTTATCTAATTCTCAATGGCCGGTATCATCCATCACATTCTTGTTTGTGTAGTAATTAGGGATTCACCATACCGTTTTATCGGTTTTGAGTACTGCTAGTTTTATTGCCGATACAAAGTACCGATACTGGTACTTCTGCTAGCATGGAGGCGGCTTCCCAAGAAATCGGGAAGCCGGGTGGCGTGTCATTACCTGATTGACTGGGAAGCCGTCTCCATGCTGTTTGGTAGTCTCGATGCTGATTAGTTGGTAGGCCGACTTCCCGGCCAATCAGCATTGAGCTGGCCAAATAGCATGGAGCTGGCTTCCTGACGATCAGGAAGTCGGGCGGTGGGTAATAACTCCTGATTGGCCGGGAAGCCAGCTCCATGCTATCCTAGAAATGATCCATTTGTGGGGAACACGTGACTTCTATACTAGAAGGTCAACATGCGCAGGGAAATCTGGTTACATGCTGACTGCATCTGAATGTGATCCTCCCCTGATCCAGAGAAAGCCGTTTCCTACCAGCGGAAAAAGATCTCTGGCATAGTTGCAGCTTTTATGTTGTAGACATTCATCGGCCTGTCACATGCCCGTGTAATTGGTGCATTTTCTGCTGTCATCAAGACTTTGTAAAATCAAACATACAAGGGCTTGGGGGAGCGATGTGTAAAGGTTGTTTTTTGGGGACGGCTGGAATTACTACAAAAATGCTTGTTCCCTGGTGGGTGCCAAACTGATGCGGTGTCTTCAGTACTTTTTAGCCGCTGCCCTAGGAAAGCCATATACCGTATTTTTTGCTCCATAAGACACACTCCCCCCCCCCCCCAAAAAAAGTAGGGGGAAAATGTGCCTGCGTCTTATGGAGCGAATCCCGACGCCCGAGACATGCAGTTTCGGGCGCCGGGCGAGTAGTAGGAGCCACTGCTCGTTTAATACGAGTGATCTAATGAGATCACTCGTATTAAAACCGAGCAGCCACGATCGAGATCACCATAGAGCAGACGAAGAACGGACTTTCTTCGTCTGCTCTGTGTGATCACTGAGACAGGTGGCGATGTAATCACAGCGCCACCTGTCTCAGCGGTCAACTGCAGCTTCTGTCATAGAAGCTGTGACAGACAGGTGGCGATGTAATCACAGCGCCACCTGTCTCAGCGGTCAACTGCAGCTTCTGTCATAAGGCGCGCTGGACCTCCCTGCGTCCTATGGTCCGGTGTGTCTTATGGACCGCAAAATACGGTACTTGGAAAAATTAAACAGTCAATTTTGAAGATGTAAATGTCAACCTTGGAGATGGTTAGTGGAAGGTATCTGCATCAAAGTTGTGAAGGTTGGGGGGGAGAGGTTAAGGGGATATGGAGTTGAGGGGTACAGTGCGTTAATCGAACAGTCCCGTGTGATTATCGCACTGTACCATGCAATTGCACCTACTACGCGTTCTGGTGTGCGAGGTGCGTTGCATTGCCATTCATTTGAATGGTAATTAATTTGCATGGCACCCCAAACGCACCTCCCGCCCACAGTTCCATCACCCGCACAGTACCACAATGCCGTGTGCTCCATTGCAGTGTGACTTGGGTCATGACTTAATGACCAATTACAAATGTGGGTTACACAGGTTGCGAACCCCTGTTTTAGATGCAATGAGTGCCCTTTTCTGACCCTTTACATCTTGGCAAAGCAGCACCCTATGAGCTTTATCCTCAGGTTTATTTATGGTTTTATATACATTGCAAGCAATGTTTGTTGCATAGTTTATGTAAAAGTCTGAAAAGGCCAATCTTTAGAAAAACTTTTTGGCGGTTTTACTGTTTAGTACTGCGTTTTCTATACAGAAGTCGCTGATGGGTTTTTAGATGTCTTTTGGGTATCTTCAGTGAGGTGTCTAGAGATCTAGAACACCTTTTTGCAGTATTACAGGCCGGGTTGTTTTACCAAGTCATTACATTACACTGACTTCTTCATAGATGAGCAGAAGCCTGCCGGCTTCATCTAGAACTGGCTGCTTCATGCTGGAAGTCTTCACAGAACAGCTTGGGAAGTGTGTGTGGGTGTAGACGATGGGAAGAAATGAGGCTGAGGATGGAATAGTGTAAAGTAGCATGATATAGAAACCCTGTGTCTGTGGAGCATTAGCCATTTTTGAAGTGGCGTACCAGCCCTGCATCATTTTTTACAGCCACCAGTTGTGGCATGCAGGGAGTAGTCTGCGCTGGGCTGCGTTGTTGCATTTAATGCCCATCTGACACATACCGACTTCCATGTTGCACACATTTGAAAAGTTTTTTTTATTTCTTTTTTTTCTGCATCCGAACAGTAGGATGATGTTCAGAAGTTCTTGTTATCAGTCAGTTTAGCAGTTATTTCAAGGAAAGCTTACAGGTGAATTATCTGTGGGGTGTAATGACCCATTGGGTTGCTCTCATTCATCCTGCACTATAACTGTACCCACTGCACAGGCTGGAAGGAAGCTGACTACCTTTTCGAAGGTGTCGCATGTTCTCGAATCCCAGAAGGCTACAATATGAAGTACATTTGCAGAACTTAGACAGGATGTGTTTAAATAGGATTACTTTGAGTTATACACCAGTTCTTGGAGATCTTCCAGCCCAAGTATGGAAACATTGTGTATATGTTTTGTGGGTTGCATAAACTAGAAATCCTCACTTGTATTATAGATATTGCATTTTGTCCGTGCACTCCTTCACCTTTTTTATATTGGTTTATTGAGCTCCTATCTGTGATTTTCTTGCCAGTAATCTAATGACTGCCGTATATATCTACACAGGAAGATGAAAAGTTCTTGTCGGAAGTCTTTGCACAGTTGACCGATGAAGCCACGGATGATGAAAAGCGGCGCGAGTTGGTAAGCAGAAGAGGCCATGACTAGGGCGCTTCCTTGCAGTACATCAGAGGGCAAAGTGTTGTACAGTTTCTTGTTACTGAAGCTGCCAAATTGGCGCCTGATATTCACTGCCGGTATTTTGCTCTTTTCTTTCCAAGGTCAGCTTCTTCAAAGAATTCTGTGCGTTTTCGCAGACATTGCAGCCTCAAAATAGAGATGCTTTCTTCAAAACGTTGGCAAACCTCGGAATACTTCCGGCATTAGAAATTGTCATGGTAAGTACTTGGAACTACTTTTATTATTTTCGTATTCTATTTCACAATTATTCACAGTTGTTGCTGCGTGTATAGAACTGTCAGGATGTTTCTTAAAGAACAAGGGTGTGTGTGTGTTTTTGGGTTGTTTTTTTAAATGGTTAAATACTTGAAATGGAAACTAACTCTCCCAAACCTGGGAAATGCATACCAGGCATATGATGCACAAATTACGTTTAAGCAGAATCTTCACTAACCTGCTGCACTTGGCACAGCTCCCTCCCTCCTTTCATGCCCCCTTATTGATCCTTCAGGTGGGCTTTAAATGATGCTAAACTCAGTGCTTAAGTCTTAAAAATGCATTCAAGTACATTAACTATTAATAATGCTGGACCTTATTTGTGTATAACTCGGCTGTAGATCCTCAAATCATCTCTGAATTGGTGCTGACACTGTCCTTCCTTCTGCAGGGTGTATACTTTTCTTCCCCATGGTCCCTATGCATGTTGTAAAGTATCCACCATTCCAAGCTCGCTCCTGTGATGGACTACAACTTCAATACAAGTTAATGAATTAAACGTGAGATTGTAGTCCATCATGGGAGTGAGCTTGGAGCAGTTGCTACTTTACAACACACACAGAGACCATGGGGAACAAAAGTAGCCACCATCCAGAAGGAAGGACAGTGTCCGCACCAATTCAGGGATGATTTGATGACATACAGCCGAGTTATATACTGATGAGCTACATTTTTGTTAATCTTAAAAAATGCATTTATGTAGCCTATTATTTAATTCCTGAGTTTAGGGTCACTTCAGGAAAGGATTTGCTATGTTATATGTAAACCTTTACAAAAGTTAATTGTGCCAAAACAGCAGCTTTAAAATGAGTTTTAGCCTGGAGTGAAAAACATAAAATTTTAAATAAATGATTTTATAGCATTACTATTAGTGCTGCTCAGTAGGTGAGGCCCTAGTACATGTATATGCGTTGCCTATGATATGATTTGAAATGATGTTATTGTAGACATCCCCTCTCTTTACACTGATCTCTACAATGGAGACCAGGATAACAGCCTCTTCAGTGGGCTCAAAGCACCCTAACCGCTTCTCATGCAGGAGGTGAGAGATTCAAATTAGAGGTTTCATGGCCTGAAATACTTTAGAGTGTATTTCCACTTTTGCAGTCTAATTGGGATAACATTGACTTTATATTTGTTACATGTTCATTGTCAGCTAAAAAGGTGCTATTTTGACATTTATTTTAAGCTTCTGCTTGTGCAGTTTTGCAATGAAGTCTCTAACTATAACCCCAGCTGTATTCTGTCTCTGCATATAACTTGGTCATGTCTGCTGTTCTTTTAGGGTATGGACGATTTACAAGTTAGAGCGGCCGCTACAGATATATTTTCTTATCTGGTAGAGTTTAGTCCTTCCATGGTTCGAGAGTTTGTAATGCAAGAAGCCCAGCAGAGTGATGATGTAAGTACAACAAATGGGGACAATTTCATGTCATTATATTTGACTTTGTCTAAAGCTGGTCACAAATGCTGTAGTTGTAGGAACTACTAGTTTTACATTGTATTGTACAGAGATCTCAGTCTGTGGAGTCTCTAGATTTGCATAAGATCCAATTACTGGAGGGGGTTGTATGAAACTGAATGAGTTGAAAGATGTATCATTGGGTTTAACTGATTACAATTTGTGTGCATCCATTTGATAGACTTGGATGGTAGCACACATTTCTGTACAGATAAACCAAGTCTAAAACTGTCCCTGCACGCCATGACATTTCTGTACAGATAAACTGAAGCCTAAAGCTGGCCATACACCTATAGATTATCTGCAGATTTTCTATGGTCAGATGGAAAACGTGCAACAGATTCCTCCATCTACTCTACACTGTGTGGATGGAGGAATCTCCCACTGGGCCAAGCTTCAGTATCTTGCTAGTCGGCCCCGCTGGCTCTTAAAATACCTGAACAATCTGGTTGCAGGCATTGTTCAGGTATTTTAAGAGCCAGCGGGGACAACTAGCAAGATACTGAAGCTTGGCCCAGTGGGAGATTCCTCCATCCACACAGTTTAGTGTAGATGGAGGAATCTGTTGCACTTTTTCCATCTGACCATAGGAAATCTGCAGATCTATAGGTGTATGACAAGCTTTGGGGCAGCCGCACAGCTGATGGTGTGCATGTGCATGTACTGTGTCGATGTGCTCGATGGAGCCACGTTGCACTGTTTTTTTTATTGTTAATATTTATTGAAATGTCACAAGTGGCATTTTATTAAGTTCTATGAGCACACCACTGAGCAATGCAGTTGTTCTGCATCTTACTGTGATGTGCTTCTCCTACAAGCACTGTGAACTGTTCCCACCCATGGCAAGGCATATTTCCTTGTCTTGCTTTCGGGCTGCGCTTGAAAAAATGTCCAGCACAGCCCGAATGTGTATGGTGTGAACTGGCCCTAAAACTGTCCTATTTGTAACTTTTATATTAGCTCTTATGTGTGCTTTGGTTTTACCTGCTTCAACTCAAATAATAGCTGGCTTAGGAAGAGTTGTGTCAGCAGGATTTTACAGATTTGTGGGCAGACCTGGTAATGTCTTTGTGGATTCCATAGTGGCACAGAAATTCATTGTCCTGTCTGAATGGACTGCCGGCTCAATCTTAAAGCTGGCCATACAACGGTAAGATTTTGTTGGAAAAAAGATTTCCAGAATGCTCGGTTGCTTGTATAGATGAGAATTTATGTATCCAGATCCGTAGGAAAATCTGCCAGTGTATGGCCAGCTTATGAATGGACTATGAACATGAATCCATTCCAGAGGACGGTAGCAGGCCTAGGGCCCAGATTTGTCAAGCTTTCTCTCCAGAGTCCCACGTCCCAGAATACACATGGTTATCTAAGAACTATTGTATGTCTTTAGGAGTATTTATACCGTTTGGATTTATTTAGCACGTTAGGAATGTGTACATCAAATGTACATCAAATGTGCAGCTAAGAATGCAATGTATGTTTCATGTGTAATGATTTTCTGTCCTTTTTTCTGTGTTTTGCATGTCGCAGGACATTCTTTTAATTAACGTTGTAATTGAGCAAATGATTTGTGATACGGACCCGGAGCTTGGAGGAGCGGTTCAATTAATGGGACTCCTGAGGACCTTGATAGACCCAGAAAACATGTTAGCAACAGCTAATGTAAGAACCTGCAAATGGGTAAAAGCATCTTTTTTTTTTTTCTTTTGTTTCCAAGTGCACAAAATATACTTTTCTGGAGCTGGGTTTGTTTTTGTGCACATTTTTTATGTTCTATTAAGCTTTGGTTTGATTTGCTGCCTTAAAGCGAAGCTAAAGAACAAAAATACAAAGGTTTGGCAGCAGCGACATGCAGAGTCTCTGCTACCAAAAAAAGTCTTCCCCATTCCTAGCAGTTTCTTTTATGCACTTTACACACATGGCTTGTTCCCAACATCTGTAAGATGGCGGAAGCCATGTTGGGTCCTGGGATGATGTAACCCCAGTGCACATGAGCAGGAGTTAAATAATCAAGAGGTGCCCAATGGCAGAGCCAAGCAATGTTATACCTAGAAGACAGGCAGAGTATGACAGCAAGGGAACGTTAAGGAGGATTGTGGTTGTTGCTTCACAGGAGGGGACTGTAGGAGGTTTGTTTACTATGATGTGTATAATGACACAATGTGGCATCCCACTCAGAGGTGGTGAAGTTCTGCTCTAAAGTAAACCTGTTCGGAGAGAAACATCAGGGCTAGTTTCCTTATATTCTACCGACACACAAGTTCATTAGTCTGAGTGAATAGAAAGTATGGAGGACAACTCCTGAACTCCATACTTGTTCTGCAGCATTGAATCAAAGTAGATGCAATATGGTCAGCATGATAGCCAAGCATTTCCACAAGGAAAGATCAGTGGCAGCCTTTTTGTTTCTTATGACTGAGTTTTACGTCATTTGTATGTAAATTGCTGCTTGTTTCATTTTTCTTTCAACAGAAAACTGAGAAGAGCGAGTTCCTAAATTTCTTCTACAACCATTGTATGCAAGTCCTCACTGCACCCCTCCTGGCCAATACATCTGAGGATAAGCCAGAGAAAGGTAAGGCGTCAGTTACTGAATACATACACTGAGGGGAATTTATCAAAATCTGGAGCAGCTGTGCATGACAACCAATCAGCTTCTGTGTTTCATTTTCAAAACTTAACAAACTGAAGAGAGAAGCTGATAGTTTCCCATGGAAACTGCTCCAGATGTTGTCTGCTCCAGTCTGGATAAATTCACCTCACTGTGTATTGCAGTGTATAGGTGTTTAGTCGTCGGACTAAAGCTGGCCGTACACAGTTTGAATATTGAAGGAGCCGGGTGGGAAACAGTCGGGAGAACAGCGACTTCAGCCAATTAACTGCAGTCACTGTTGGGGTATTCTGACAGCTGCTGGTTGCCAGTGCTGTTTAGTGTGAATGGGGGAGTTGAGTGATTTTACTTGATTGTTAACCAGATAATTCTTTGTGTATGGCCAACGTAAGAGTCGCATTCTCAGTTCTGAGCATAGTGTTTAGAGGGGTATTGTGAGAGTTCACAGCAGCTTGTTACGGGCCTGAATGGTTTAAGTATACGGTGAATAGACCTTTAAACTTAAAATAGATTCTGTGAATTGTTTGCTTTGTCCTTTTACACAATGATTGAAATAAGTATCTTTTCTGTCTTCTTTTTCAGGAGACACTGCTGTCACGTCGAAGGGTAGCACAATTTGTCCAGGTAGGTGCTGTGCATCTGTAGAACAGATTAGTTTAGTCTAAGTGTTCTTGTTTCAGTGTAGTGTACTTGTGTAATGTCGGTAGACTGTGGTGCCTTTTCTCTCAAGTTTATAAACGACGACTAATTCTAAACTAGGATCTGCAGTCACAAGCATGTGTAGTTGCTGTAAAATAAATGAACAAAGACTGTGAGGAATGATTCCAGGTCTTGGCAGAGCTGGGACAATTACATGTCTAAATGGGTAGGTGAAGAAAAGCACCACTGTGCCTATATTGAGCAAGTCTTAGGATCCGTTCACACAGGGCTGTGGCTGGGGCTTCCTGCGGCAAGTCTTAGGATCCGTTCACACAGGGCTGTAGGCTGGGGATTCCTTCGGCAAGTCTTAGGATCCGTTCACACAGGGCTGTAGGCTGGGGATTCCTTCAGCAAGTCTTAGGATCCGTTCACACAGGGCTTTAGGCTGGGGATTCCTGCGGCAAGTCCTGGGATCCGTTCACACAGGGCTTTAGGCTGGGGATTCCTGCGGCAAGTCTTAGGATCCGTTCACACACGGCTGTGGCTGGGGATTCCTGCGGCAAGTCTTAGGATCCGTTCACACAGGGCTTCAGGCTGTGGCTGGGGATTCCTGCGGCAAGAACATACAGATTCTTCTGGCATAAATTGCAGGTGTGTCCATACTGATGCTGCCGCTGTGCCTGATGAAGTTAATGACGGGCTGCCAGTGGCTGCATCTGTTAGCGGCAGTCCACATGTAATTGTACATGGAACGATTACCTTTCGGTTCGGGAGAGGAGATTGTTCCTGGACGCAGTCTGTCTGCACCCTGGGACAATCCCCTAAGATTCTATGGGTTCTTGCTGAAGTGCCCAGCCTCCTCATGTGACTGAAGCCTCAATGTAAAAAAGAGAACTGGAACATATTTATTCTTTTATTTACTGACGTCAAACGTTTTTTTGTTTTGCAGATAACTATCAGACGGCCCAGCTGCTTGCATTGATTTTGGAGTTACTGACATTTTGTGTGGAACACCATACTTACCACATCAAAAACTACATCATGAACAAGGACCTGCTCAGAAGAGTGTTAATACTGATGAACTCCAAACATACCTTTTTAGCTCTCTGTAAGTTCGATACATCCTCCTTTTTTTTCTCTCTCCATTCCTCCAACAGAGGTTTGAAGTGCCTTGTTGATATAGCAATCTGATAGTAAGTTGGCTGAACTCCAGACTGATGTAAAAGACACAGATCATGCAAATTGGTGTTCATACATTAAATATATAACATGTTTTACAAGCACAAGCATCTCTATTTGACTTGGTATCAGCCTTTTGCAGCAGAGCTCAGAGTGGGGGAGGCAGAAACCACACAGGGAGCAAGTGAGTTGTGCTAACCAGGAACATGCCGATAGGAGTAGCAAGAAGAGTGACAGATGAGCTGATTGGTTTGCTGCTTTTACATTTTACTGTCAAGTAACTAAGGTTAGGGGAAAGACCTGTAGAAGGGAAAAATAAGGTTTCTTCCCTTACCAGACACGGCTGTGCCATGTAAATCTCAGAACTGGATGGACAGAAATACAACTCCTTTGGCAAGTGAACCAGCTCTCATGTATGTAATTCTTCTGTGTGTTGTTGGTCTGGAGTTCAGGCCCATTTTCTGCTGCCCACGTGTGGTAAGATCCACATGGCTTTAAAACAGAACTGCACACAATACCTATTAATGGTCTTGAGGGGCTTTTTTTGCTACACACAACTGTTGAGCGGTTGAACTTGTCTTTCACCATAAATGTTCTCCGTATTTCCCTGTGTGCAGTAAGGGGCGGTTGATGCACCATGCTTTGTCCTCCCATTGGACTTTCCTTTGGAATATATTATGGCATCTGTCAAACACCAGAGCAAGGAGAAGTGATTCCATCATATGTCAGGTTTTTGATAATCTTCTGTGGTTTGTCTGTTACAGCATTTATTTTAGCTTTTTTCTTTTTGTCTATTTTCCCCCCCATAGGCGCCTTACGTTTTATGAGGCGGATAATTGGTTTGAAAGATGAATTCTACAACCGTTACATCATAAAGGGAAACCTTTTTGAGCCAGTAATTAATGCCCTTCTGGACAATGGTACTAGATACAACCTGCTGAACTCTGCTATAATAGAACTATTTGAGTTTATCAGAGTGGTGAGTATTCTAGAATCCTTCAAGCCAATATTTCTTCCAAAATGACTTTGTTCAAACGAATACGATTATACAAGTGATGTAATTGATTTGTTTCAAACCCATTTTCTGCTGCCCGTGTGTGGGGTAAAATCCACATTTGAGTGCTGCCCCCATTTCACTGTGTGCCATATTGTGGTAGCCGGGCAGCAGCGCTCTCTAGGACACACAATGTGCATTGAAGGGTAAGTTCACTTTCTCAAGTAATTTGGGAAAATGAATTGCCTGCACAAATTGTCCCCCC